TACATCGATTACCTTCGAGGCACAATGATCTTTGTTTTTATTTTCAACAACAAATGTACGTACCGATGAAGCAAACAAATCTATTAAAGAATACTTCTATGTTTCAGGTATCAGTTCACTTGATCATTATATAGGTAATATAAATTCTAGAATGTTTATCTATATGAGCTGATAGAAAAGAAAGGAATTAGTAGATCATGAGCTTCAAAAGAATTTCCTTCAATAGAAACGCTATGCCAGATTTTTTACTTTTATAGCTCTCTTTTTTTAATCATAGTAGACAATCGTTGACACTAACATCAAGAATGCAACGTCAGAAATAAGATTCTAAATAGATATTTTACGTTTTTATATCTTTATCTATTCTCATATAAGGAAATGATCAACAAACGCAATGATAATGGAAAGAAATGATCAAGTAAACAAATGGGATTGTAAATTCCAATGTAATAGAAAATGATGAGATAGCAATATTAGATTCAACTTTACAACTTCGTCATAAAATCATTATGCAAAAAAAAAAATCATATTATTGTTGTTTAATTGCTCTTTTGAAATTTTCATTAACACTGAATTTTCTATTATGAAATAAGACTCATTCAATTATTGCCTTAAATAAAAAAAATACATTTAAAAAAAAAGGTATTTTGACTCTAACCATCATTCGGCATATTTCTTGTCAAACTTTAATGTGTAGTCAATCCTTACTAAATAATAATAATTTAGAAACATAAAGTTTATAAATGGGTAATATACAAAAACCAGTGTTATAAGATAAAACCAGTGTTGTATCCTTAAATTTTTCGTTATTGTATCATATACTATAGGCTTATGCACCCAAAAATAGATGTTAACTCTTCCGAACTTTTTAATCGTCACTCCAGAAGAGAGAAAATCTGAATAAAACCTATCTGTATATAAAATAACTAACAAAATATCTTTAGTAATAACATTACAAATACAGTTGTAGTCAAAAATATAAAATTAGCATATATTTGAGTTTCTTTTTACAATACCAAGCGCTTAACTCAATTTAAATAATGGTTTGGATGGACGATGAAGTTCTCTATCAAATACATTTCATACTGAAGTTTTATAGAGGAGTTATGAGAGAATGGTTTCTGAAAAAACAAGCATAGTAGTTTTCAGGTTTCAAAAGATTGAGTAAAAATTAATTTTTAAAGATTATCATCTTAACCTATGAGCCATATTCTAATTTTCTCATACAAAAGATGTTGTGTGAGTCTATAGTCAGACGTACGTTTTAAATGCATCGAAACTCTTTATAATGATCTTTTCAGTGACGAACACGTTGTCATGACTCTTGACATTTGAAAATTTGAATAATTTAAAAGATATTTTTCTAAGAGATTATAAAAACAGTATGATGCTAAAATATTATAGAAGAAACTAAAACTAGAGATAGGACTACGGAACAAGGAAATGACTTCACATGTATTGATTTTTCTCGTGTATTTTTTTATGTTGTACAATGATTAGAATACAATAAAATTAACATAATGATTGAATTTTTTCCTGTAATACTTGAAGGTGGGTGTGGATGTAGGTGTGAAGTTTGCATGCAAATATCAGCCTTCTGTTTACACCTACTACTACAACAACACTTACACTTTTATTCTCAATTTTTTACTCATCTTTCGTATTCTATTATTATTATTATTATCATTTTGTTATTTTCAACTATACAAAATCATTATTACAACAAAAATGTCTAGAGAAATTTCCGATTATACAGATTGCCGAACTAAGCCAATAAATGAAGTACGGTAAATTAAAGAATTTGAGTATTTATCATTAAATGTAAGTTACTTCTTTTTAGTTGTGTAAAAATCTCTCTCATTGCTAATTTCAATTAAGAGTTTGATAATATTTATGATTTCTACGAAAACATTTTCGAACTGATATCATAATAGATAATATAACATTTATGGTAATAACAACAGAAATTATAATTATGATTCCAACAAACTTTCAATTCATATTCCAATCAGATTTCTTTTCTAAATGTGTTGCTAAATAATCATATGCCTCGTTGTTCCATTGTAAGCTGAAATCTGAATTATAGAGCATATTATTGTCTAAACGAAAATAATAAAGAAAAAGCAAATCTGTTTTTTTTTAAGTGAACAATATGCTTTTGCTAATCCAAGAAGTGCCAATGTTCTAGAAAGTCTCTTCAGAAGTAAGAATCCAAAATTAATTTGATCTAGCCAAAGTAATTATATCATCTATTGATATACATTCCGAAAATACAATGAAATGAAATGAATTATTAAATCTGAAAGTATAGGTTTGTGTTTCGATAATATGTTGGTCATACATAATACCGTATCGCACTCGATAATAAATGCCATTACCAAATAACATTTTTATACTTTCTAAAATTTCGAAAGCAACGGATTTTTTCCTCATATTTAAATATGCATAATGCATAAACTCAATGCTTGTATAATCCTACTCGAAGATAAATATGTGTTGCCATATGTTGACCATGTGGCAAACTTGGTATTATACAAAAATATTGTATTGCATTTGATAGAGTGAATAAAGCACTTTTTGATTATTTTTTAAGATCGTTTTTTGAGATAGCTATTTGCAATTGACGATCTTGTGGATTCCGATTTCAATTTCTACGAATCGCTGACTGAGTTTTTGAAAATAAGATACAAACTGAAAATAAAGCTGCTTCATTATCAGTTGGAAATAGCTGATAAAATTTGTTTCAAAACATTAATATAATCATCTTAATCAATTTTTTCTTCTGTTAAGTTTGTAAAATGAATTTTAGAATCCATTCGTTTTATTTGCTTTGAACCTTCTGTACGAATTTCATCCAACCATACAGATTTGAAATAACTTAAAGATGAAAATGCACAACCCACAGAAAGTTCAGAAATGATAGTATAAGCTTGTTTGAATTGATCAAATGCAAATGAATTCTAAAAATTATGCATATAAGCAAGACCTAAAATAAAATGTTCTTGTTCTAAACTATTATTTGTACTTGTTGGAAATTGAATATATTTTTAACTAAGTGATGGTTAAAATTCATAGCATGAACTTTTTTTTAATTTGTATTCATAACAGCAGAGAAAGTAACGTTAAGTTTTTAAGCCCCCCCCCCCCCCCAGAAATTCCATTTTTCGGTAATGTAACCGAAGTCGAGTTTTTATCATAGGAAGATGCAACGAAGTTTTCTCTTTCAGAATACATACAAATTTTTAAAAAAAGGCCAAATTTTTACAGACTTTCGTAGAAGATTTCCACCACACTACCCAGTTTTTCGAAGAGATGGTGGATGTAAGTGTAGGGTGTGGCTGTGGGTTTGGAGTGTGAGTGGATGTGGGTGTGTGTATAAATCTTCTTCACACCCACACCCACACTCTGTGAGTATTTTTAACGTCTGGGTGATTGAAAGAACAAGTTGGGGTCTTAGTGTTGAAAAGGGTCGTTTTGTAGCGTTTGCTGACAAATTTTGTTGCTTATGACTCTTACAAACGAGACATTCCTGAGTGTGTGTGTGTGTGCATAACTGTGCAAATTGTAAGTGTTTGTAAAGGTGACGCATATGCATTTTTTGCAGTGTTGAGTATTTGTGATGTGTTTATTAACTAGGGGTACCTGAGATCAAAAGCAATAGAAATTGAAATTACAAGTAAGACAAATATTATTTTTCTTCCCGACGAAGAACGTGATGAAAAAAATAATAAGAGTCATAATTTTATTTGCATAAAGAAAAGAAAAAAAATTGCAAGTAGGAAAAAACCATCTGAATGGTGCATAATACTTTTTTCTTGTCGGCTATCGTCATTTCATTTGTTTTGCTGCAATGTAAGCTTGTTGTTCTTCCCAATTGTTGCTTGTTGGCCAAAAGGTTTTTTTTCTGCAATTGAAACATTCTCGTTGATCAAAATATTTAATATCTGATTTTTTTGTAGATACTTCTTCTTGTACTTGTACTAATATATTGATCGAAGAGAAAAAATATACAGCAAATACATATTTCTCATGGAAGAATTCGGTTCCTTTTTATCATCGGAAATAGACAGTGAAGGTCTGCTATTGTGACCAATTTACTCTACTTTGAATTGATATTCTTACTTTCTTTATAGAGGCTGCAAGAGTCGATTCGATCAAATTAATTTCAATGCAAAATATAGCAGACTTCCCTTCAGTGGACGCAGAAACGTACTTAATCAAAACGGGTTTCTTTGAAGACTTGAATCTAAAGGCCGATACAGAACATTTGTTTTCAACGATCACATTGGAAAATCCAACTTCCATAAGCTCTTCCGGTGAGATTTTTGAAAAGACTATGACGGAAGATCAAGCCGAACTTTGCTCGCTAGAGGAGGAGCTGAAAAATATCGAGTGGAAATTTCCATTTCCAACGAGTTATAATCCAGCCAATTTGTCGCCACTAGATAATCCGAAACACTTCATGAGCAGTGATTGGGACGACCCGTTGAACGATAGCGATCGACATGGTAAATGTTGCAAAAAATTTTCTTTAATCTTCATTCTTATTTGTATTATCTTGCTAATATAGAAGAAAACTATAGTCAAAACCAACACGAAATATTCAAGATCGGAGAGCCTCCCACGGTCGAAACTGATGGTTTGTATCAGTGAATAATTTATCTCTTTCACCACAAATATCTCTATTCTTTCAGTACTGTATGAAAGTCCACATGGATTACTACTGGAGCAACAATTAGCTATGAGACAAACAGATGAAACTGGACCAGCGAACTATAGTCTTGCCATAAATGATATTTCAGTAGGAAAGACAGAAGTCGAGGAAAATCCTACTGATAAGAATAAACCTACCAAAGTAGTCAAGTCATCAGTAAGTTTTCTATAGTAATCGTTAATAATCTGATATATTTTCCATTTGCATTCGATCGGAATAGGATACTCCAATGACTCCTACCTTTCTCGAAAGTGGTCAGTCAGTATTAATATCTAATGCGAAATCGATGGTAATATCAGTCGCTCCATGTCCATATCAGCGTGCTCGATATGAAGACGAATGTTCAAAGGCTAATAGATACATTTTTGTACCTTGGAATGGAATTTTGACACTCATCGTGAGTCATTATTCTTTCAAAAATATTCATCTATAACTTTCTTCAATGAATTTATTTAGATCCCCGATCTACGTTCAAGTTTACCAGCGGGTGTCACTGTCTGGTTGCGCATCACTCGCATTACAATACCACATGGCGCAAGTGGCCTCATTTTACTTCATCCATATCCGATATGGATTAATAACGATTATGCCAAAGTTCATGATGGCTCATTGTATATTCGAGTCACCGAACAAGATATGGCAAATGGTTTCATCAAGTAGGTCGAATTATTTTGATTTTCTTCTTAAATAAAGGTCTTCTTTGGTTGTCAAGGATCGAATATCTTGCCATACTTCGACTTAGACAACGTGATCTAGCAAAAATGAAAACATTAGCCATTTATTCACAAACACAATTAGCGTCCACTAGTAATAAAAAAATTTCGTAGCGCGCTGATCATATTAAATCATTGAGTCACATTTAGATCTGCATCCAATAGAAACAAATGGAGCAAAAGAAATGATAGATGAATATCATCTGCGATCGTCAAGATTGGCGTTTCAGTTAGTTCTTGTCGATGAGAATAACATGGCATATTGTACTGATGTTATTTGTAATACAGAGCCAATTCAGGAATATGAAGGTAAATTTTGACTCTCGTCTATCAATAAGTGAACACGAATAGGTGTTATTTTATTTATTTCAGCAAAAGAAATGGAGAGTTTGAGACATATTTTGGACGGTTATGGTGCTCCAAGACGGCAGCGAAGTCCAGTCAAGAATAAAAGAATCGATCAACTAAAGAAATCACGAGCCGTAAGCTGAGTTTGTGGACGAAATTGAACATCAATAATTGATTTATATTATCTGTCGACAACTTCGAAATAGAGTCAACGTGTGGCCAATCGATAAACAATGGGCTGCAGGCCCTCATCCGCGAATTTTTATTGATCAAGAATCTTGATTCATGAAAATTCTCAATATTTATTTTCTCTGCTCCTTTTTTGGTGTCGACACAAAGGTTTAATTCTGACTTTGACTCAATTACTTATCTTCTTCATATTAGTCGACAATATTGCTTTGCGCTTAATATACAGGTGTTTGATTTGTGTTTATTTTCTATATTGCAATAAAATTCTATGACCGAAGAATCTTGTTGAATGATCAAATGCTGATAGTTAATGACTATCGATGATGTTGTTAATGGTGTGGGTGTGGGATGAGCGTGAGAGTTTTAATAGAATATATTGATATCTACATATTACATGAACAGCAAGTGTAGCTTCAGATGAACTGTTTGTGGCACTCTCCATAAATATATCTGTCAAGATAAACTCATACCATGTGATTCCCAAACCCAATCTTTTTGTTTTTCTCGTGCTTGATAAGCATCATTCTCGTTTGATCTTGACAGGTAAGGCGAATGAAGCGAAGTGACTAAAATGTCTCTCTTTATTGGAAAACATCTCTGCTTCGTACCGTGTAATATATACATGGAGGAAGGTTGCAAAATAATGCAGTGTATCATACCATTGGCAAAAGAAGATTGTATCCGTTATAATATATTTGTCACTTTTTGGATAATCGTGTGAAACTGCATAACTTATTTGACTACAGTTCAACTAACAAGTCCCGTCTCTAAGTACAATTCTTTTTTTCCTAGACTAGAAGGATAGGGCCTAGGAACGGAAATTTACCTGTGTCTGTCTGTCTGTCTGTCCATTTGTAATAGATGGCACAAATGACCACAGTCGCGGTAACAGTGACCATCGATATGGGTGTGAGAATGTGGGAGTGGGTATGATCCTCTCATCTTCAACACTCACATCCACATCCACCCACATCCTCGTACTACTCTCGAAGGGTATCTTCATTAATATTGAATGTAGAAGCTCTTGTTTCTTCTATGTTCTCGACTTTTTTGTCTTGATACGTGAATCTTCTATCATATCACTTTATTATGATCTTCTGCCTGTGACTTTTATGTCACAGGCAGAAATGTTATGTATTAATCGTTAGCAGTTGAAATGAAGTCTTTGGATAAAATTCATGACGAATTTTTTTGCATGTTCCAGATCTGATTGAAACTAATCATTCTACCGACAATCTTCACATGTCAAACAAATGTACTCCATTATCAAATGTTTTTTGATTCTGGGAATAATTATGATATTCATAATTATATGTTTTCGTCACATTTTAGAAGCAGATGTTGTGCTTGATACTACACCACGTTATCCTCGATAATCGAAGTACCAGCGACGTCGTCAACAACAAC